CCCAACCCCTGCCTCTACCGCCACAAGAATAAGTCAATTTAGACTCGTTTAAATTGTGTTCGTTATGCCCTCATAAGTAGGAAACTAAAGATCAATGATGTCCTTAAATTATTCTTGACTCTAGGTACGTGAACAAAAATGCGTACGCGATTTAAATGTGCGAGTGCTCGATTTAACATAATAATTTCTGATTCTCTCTTTCGTTGTAGTCGTGGTAGCATCATAGCTATGTTTAAGATGACTTTTCTCCGGAATATTGCGAACGATCTTGGCGCTAATGTGACGAACAAGCTTGTTGTGGCTGTGAACAGTGGAGAATTAGCAGGGTTGGCCGTTAAGGAGTCATCTTTAATCATCCAGAAAGATGGTACGTTTGCCCTAAAGTTTTTCATTAACATTGCTCAGTGGTAGGGATATACCCTACAAAACGTTGATGTCCTCGTGTCTGTGTTATCAGCCTCAGCCTTGTGCCTCGGCAGATAACTCAGACCTCTGTTCTGATAATTTATGTCATTGCATTGCTCGCAGCGCCCGTGGGCAATTTGAAGCAAATCCTGTGTTATGATTGGCTACCTGAGCGGGCAAGGTGGGCCCATCTTGCCCGCTCAGGATTGCACGCTTTGATCTCGCGCGTGAAAAAATTGAATTAGTTCTAAGTTCGTAATTCCGTCAATGTCGGTGATGGAGATGAAAAAAGCGGCAGAAGATGGTCAAAGTAAAGAAAACAGAAACGACTCTCGTGGGTTTATCGTGCTAAAAACACAGTTGGCTTTCTTTCTCGGCTCTCGAAGTAAACAAGTCATTCTTAATTCTTACATAAAACGAAATCTTTTTGCAATATGATAAATCCTTTATTGTTCTGTCAAGATGGCTAGATATTAGCCTCGTTCTTTTTTCGCATTTTTATGGACCTCGACTTCGTAGCGGTCCATAAAAATGGGAGAAAAGAACTCAGTCAATATCCAGCCATCTTGACCCCACGCTTGGTCAATAATGCATATATATCATGCTTAACATTATCCAATAATTACTTGCTGTGTTATCCCGATTTTTAGTGGCCCAAGTGTTTGTAAGTCGGATACGTTTTTGTCTTAGATGATGGATAGTTACCCGTATAATAACGTGTGAGCTAAAAAAAAACTGTTGATTATAAATTTCCTTGAGACGGTATAATTTGTTTTCTGGTCGTTTGTTTCGTTTGTAAACTGTTTTATCACCTTTTTCGAAATTTTAGATTCAAGTGTCAGCACCGGCAGTCAGCCTACAGCAGTAGCTCAAAAAAGTAAGTTAATTTTGAATGTCTAGTTATGTTACAGATGCGAGAGTCCATTTATTCGTGTGCTTAGCTATTCTACTTAACACGTTGTCTTAATTCTCCTAACTAGCTACAGATGCGTCAAATCCAATCTGGAAGATAGTAATAGCGACAACAGTTTCCCTTTTCCTGTTGATATGTTGTTGCGTGCTGGGTTTGTATCTGGTCTGGAAGCGAAAGAAAGGAAATCATCCGCTTAACCATCACCACTTTAATAACCCGATTTACTTCTCAAACTCTACGCAAGAAATACAAACAAATGGTCATGCAGTGAATTCAAAAGGGACTGCAACAACAGCAACGTAAGAGTATCCACGGAAGGAGGCCGTTACAGAAGATAGATGGCGGGAAGTCAAAGTAATTTTTTTTAAAAAATGAATGTTATAAAAAATAGATATTTGGCTTTCGTCGTCAAATCGCGTTACCCGGTATACACGGAAAAATGGAGCAATTATCCCGCGGTTTTGCTTCAGCGTGACGACTGCAAAGAACAAAAGGCGTTATAATAGAGTATTATGCAAATCAAAAACAAAACGGCATTAGTTCCAAAATCAATAGTTTGAAAATTTTCAATATACAGTTGTTTTTTTTTTGTTGAAAAATACATATAAGAGGTTGTTTCACTTATTTTTTGTGGGTTTCTGTCAGTGGTCCTTCGTGATGGACATCAAAGTGGCTGTGCAAGAAGCTTGAATCTTGACAATTTTTTCTAGTTGTCATCCATATTTTTTTTACTTGGATGCTGTATAGTTAACATTTTACGTAACGCCGGTTGTGACCCAGGCTTTCATTCCTATGCAGCCTCGTTCGATAAAACTTAGACTTGCTCACGAGTCGCGCTTTTGAGCACGTAGCGCGAGCCGAGCCGAGCGAGCCATACCACACCAGAACAGAAAACCAAGCGAACGACTTTGAGAAAGTCTAGTTAAAACGCATCACAAAGTACGAATTCTGAGGTTAGCTATGAGAGAATACTCCGTTTTATTTGTTAAGACTGTGTTGTGAACTTACAACTCCAAGTTAACAGAACAAAAAAATCAACTGCGAAGACTTAATTCTTTAGTTGTGTGATGGCTTGCTTCACTTTGGGAAGTCGGACATGATGTCTTGAAACGGTTTTTAACAAATAGCCACCAACACCGAGGTGAATAGTTATTTTAGTACATACTAAAACAGTGAGATAATATAGCACTTAAAGATGACTTGAACTCAGTTATTCCTACAACGATTACAATATTTTCACGCGCAAGTCAGACATAAGTTGCTCGGAGGTAAAAAAGCAAAGGATATTCTGCAGCTCTGTGAAATAAATACTCTTTGGCTAGCTAGCATATCGTAAGTGTTGCCCTTGGCTAAAAGGCTGTTATGTCATCCAAAATGTACGGTTGCTTTCGAAGTTTCACTCCTCAGTTAACTGTTCATTGCTTGGACAGTACTACCATTTGAAGGGTTAAGTAATTGCCTTATGTACGAACGAAGTTTCAGTTTCGAATTAAACCAAAACTAAAGCAAAGTTCTTAACCATTTAACCGTAGGATTTAGGATTTAACTCCCAGAAGTGATTATCTTGTGACCTCTTATTACAATGCCAATACATTATTTTGCAAAAACTGTCAATGATCGTTCTTGCGTTCTTTCGCTTTCTCATACTAAACTTTATTAGTATAATTTCAGAGCTGAGCAAAGAGTTTCCAGCAATCTGATTGGTCGAGCGGTTCCTTTTATGACGCTATATAAACCGCTCCACGCGGTTTATATAAAATGTTAAAATAAATTATTAAAATGTTATGATTTTAGAAATTTCTCTGTTGTTCAGCTCTGAAATTATACTAAAACAATTATTCGCCTCAGGTTCGGTGAATATTTTCGAACAATCCCCTCGACTTCGTCTCGGGGATTATTCGACGATATTCACCTCACCTTCGGCGAATAATTGTTAATTAGAACATAAACAAAGTAAAGCGCGCGCTCTGAACTGTCAATTCAGTGTCAACCATTTTCCCATGGGTATACGCGCAGACTAGTCTGGTACGATTTCAGTGTTAGATGTTGCTACAATGTATCAATGTTATGTTATAAACTAAATGGTTAACACCACAGCGTACACTATTTGAGTTATGGATGCACGCGGGAGGTTTGCTACGCACTCGAGAAGCCAGAGTCGCTCTCGGCCCTCGCCTCGAGCGACTCTTACGCTGTGGTGTTTACCATTTGTCAATGAATACCAAGAAAAATTTTGGGCTGTAACAGGGCCTAAGCTGTCCAATCATAGTTAAATATATGCTCACCAGAAGTGTTCCAATAGTGCTTTTCTCGCATATATGCGTTTTTATACTGGTGAAGCGCAATGTGACCCGGGAAACATGTTCTGCATCGTCTCTATGCAAAGTAGTGTTTCTGTGCACATTGACATGAATAACGTAAAATATGGAAATGTGAAGGATGGGTTAGTGACATTTGTATTGGGCAATGATTTTCTTTGTTTCAAGTTATATATTACGACATTGAATAACGGACCATTGGAGTGCTAAGCACTTTGTGCAAATTTGAAGGGACTCCTTTTAGCGATGAAGTTTTTTTTAACATTAACCATTTCCATTATTTTGAAATTTTAAAGATATATCAAGTATTTCTAAACCGGGGATAACGCTGCAATTCTCAATGAAGTAAAGCAAAGTAATTTATAAACTTGTGGCTTTAAGAAACTTCGTGAGTTTTTAATGAAGGGAACTATTTAATTCAGTACCTTCTGTCATATTTATCTACATTTCATTTAATGTTATTTTCGTGTCTCTGTTTTCTCCTTGTTTCAGTTTTATCCTGTAAAATGTTTATTGTACTTTTTGTATATAATTTGTATATCAGCTAAAAGCAGAAATAAGCATAAGATTGAACAAAGTTGTTCTGACGTAATTCTGCTTAGCTCTCGCTTCAAAATATTTGCCAGCAAGTTTTTACAGATCAGGAAAAAAAAACCAACAAGAACAAGAATAAAAGAACAAGTTTTGCTGTAGATAGTGGTTTGCGATTGTTCTTAGTTTACTCTATTGTTGTCACAGAAGAAATCATGTAAAGGGACTTTAAAAGTCCTCAGTTCTTGCTGTGACACTACAAAGACAACCATCGTCTCAAAATAATTTGTCAGTTAGGTAACGTTAGACATCATTTCCATCGTTTGCACTGTTATCCTCGCTGGCCACCGACTCAAACATTTCACACCCACCATTAATGTAAAAAATAGCAAATTAGCAATTGTTAAACTTTGGATCTTTCAGTGGGGAGATGCTTTCTCTGAGTTGCATCAGAAGGAGGGAAGCTCTCTTACCTCCGTTACCTCTTCACAACATCTCTCAGAGATAACTACGCCAAACGCATGCACCGGTATCGCAGCGGTCATGGGTTCACATCCCGTACAGGCCTGAATTTTATTCAGGTCTCATTTTCACTACTGCATAAATAGTGTTAAGTACTGTGAGGATCGCATTCATATACACTTCTTACAACCGCAGTTCACCCATATGATTTTTTAAATATTCTCAGCCATTGATTCATCACTTCACGGGTTTAATACGAACCAACATAATGATCAACTCCTAGTTGGCTTGTTAGCACAGGTGGTACAGCACTGCTCCGGTATCGCAGGGGTGATGGCTTCAATTCCGTTGGCTTGTTGGCTCAGGTGGTACAGCACTGCTCCGGTATCCCAGGGGTGATGGCTTCAATTCCGTTGGCTTGTTGGCTCAGGTGGTACAGCACTGCTCCGGTATCCCAGGGGTGATGGCTTCAATTCCGTTGGCTTGTTGGCTCAGGTGGTACAGCACTGCTCCGGTATCCCAGGGGTGATGGCTTCAATTCCGTTGGCTTGTTGGCTCAGGTGGTACAGCACTGCTCCGGTATCCCAGGGGTGATGGCTTCAATTCCGTTGGCTTGTTGGCTCAGGTGGTACAGCACTGCTCCGGTATCCCAGGGGTGATGGCTTCAATTCCGTTGGCTTGTTGGCTCAGGTGGTACAGCACTGCTCCGGTATCCCAGGGGTGATGGCTTCAATTCCGTTGGCTTGTTGGCTCAGGTGGTACAGCACTGCTCCGGTATCCCAGGGGTGATGGCTTCAATTCCGTTGGCTTGTTGGCTCAGGTGGTACAGCACTGCTCCGGTATCCCAGGGGTGATGGCTTCAATTCCGTTGGCTTGTTGGCTCAGGTGGTACAGCACTGCTCCGGTATCCCAGGGGTGATGGCTTCAATTCCGTTGGCTTGTTGGCTCAGGTGGTACAGCACTGCTCCGGTATCCCAGGGGTGATGGCTTCAATTCCGTTGGCTTGTTGGCTCAGGTGGTACAGCACTGCTCCGGTATCCCAGGGGTGATGGCTTCAATTCCGTTGGCTTGTTGGCTCAGGTGGTACAGCACTGCTCCGGTATCCCAGGGGTGATGGCTTCAATTCCGTTGGCTTGTTGGCTCAGGTGGTACAGCACTGCTCCGGTATCCCAGGGGTGATGGCTTCAATTCCGTTGGCTTGTTAGCACAGGTGGTACAGCACTGCTCCGGTATCGCAGGGGTGATGGCTTCAATTCCGTTGGCTTGTTGGCTCAGGTGGTACAGCACTGCTCCGGTATCCCAGGGGTGATGGCTTCAATTCCGTTGGCTTGTTAGCTCAGGTGGGTACAGCACTGCTCCGGTATCCCAGGGGTGATGGCTTCAATTCCGTTGGCTTGTTGGCTCAGGTGATACAGCACTGCTCCGGTATCGCAGGGGTGATGGCTTCAATTCCGTTGGCTTGTTAGCTCAGGTGGTACAGCACTGCTCCGGTATCCCAGGGGGGATGGCTTCAATTCCGTTGGCTTGTTGGCTCAGGTGGTACAGCACTGCTCCGGTATCCCAGGGGTGATGGCTTCAATTCCGTTGGCTTGTTGGCTCAGGTGGTACAGCACTGCTCCGGTATCCCAGGGGTGATGGCTTCGATTCCGTTGGCTTGTTGGCTCAGGTGGTACAGCACTGCTCCGGTATCGCAGGGGTGATGGCTTCAATTCCGTTGGCTTGTTAGCTCAGGTGGTACAGCACTGCTCCGGTGCAATGACTTGCTCACCCAGCACGGTATTTTTATTAACTAACTCGTGGAACGGGGTAAGGAAATGCCGAGGATCAAACCATCTCCTCAGCACACTGAAGATAGGAATATGAGTTCAACAACGCTCTGATAAAAGTGTGACAAGACAATGACGGAGGCGACTTTTCTCCAAGCAGCTGTAAGGCAGGATACTGGAAATGTAACGAATGATATCATAACGAAGCTTTCGCCCTTTACATCCGAATACAGAGTCGCTTGTTATCCCATCTAGCCCCTAATTATTTCGTTGAGAATTTACCGTGAAATCAAAATAACAACCTTTAACTTAAAAGTCGGTATGTTCAAGGAAAAGATTTTTCCAGACAATTTCAAGTTTATGTCATTCTGAGGAATTGAAATCGGTTCTAAAGAAAGCCTTACTTCAAAGACGTTTACCACCTTCCTTTAGTCAAAGCTCATCCTCTAAAACCAGAACTAGATTAGATCACTGCATTTAAAATACAATAGAATTTATAAAATACGGGACGCTGCAAGCTTGCTGCGTGTACATCAAATCTCAACCAAAAGTACGACAAAACAAACATTTTAATATTTCGACAAAAAACAAACTACACAAACTAGCATCGTAGAAAATAAACAATTGACAAATTATTTCCTCTAGTGTCACTACTCCATCATGCTTTGGCTCGGGGGAACTGGGCTCGAAACAGCATTGTCAGCTGGCGCGTGAGCCACCTGGCCAGCGGCAGCATGAGCTAGGGGAGCATTACTGGGGGTACCTGGAGCTGATGCAGGGGAAGCAGCATTCGATCCCATGAATGACACCGGGGTACTGCAGCCAGAGTGAGGGTGGGAGCCCACCTGGGGTACAGAGCCAGGGTTCATTACTGGAGCTGGTGAGGCAGAGGCGGACGGTGGATTGGATCCGCCGGGTTGACTATTAGCTGCAACTTGAAAAAATAGAAGTCCTTTCAGAAATATTTCTCTTGTCATGTTATGATCAAGGGAACACAAAAACAAACTCTGATTCCAGAAATTCTGACTCCCCGATCTAAAGCTCTACCGTTGAGCTAATAGAGACAGGGTTCGTACCCTTTTTCAGAGACAAATTTCAAGGACTTTTCCAGGACTCCAAATTTCAACTTAAACTCTTTCATTACCAAAATTTCAAAATTAATTCTCCTAATGATCTACATACATTTCTTCTAACGTAACTTGAAATTCTGAAAACTTTATTGCTTCAGTTAAGCTGATTTCCAAGTCTTTCCAGGACCTGTAGTCTTTTTCCTGGACTTTCCAATCCTGGAAAAGGTTAAAATAAAATTCCAGGACTTTCCAGATTTTCCACGACCAGTTGAAACCCTGTATAGACTATAGTGAGAAGCGCCATTGCAAATTGCTTTGAGATACGCAATTGAAATACATTCTTGACAGTATGCTCCAAGATAACAGATTGCCCGTATTATATCTGACCAATCACGCTTGATCATTTCACAAAGTTTCCAAAAAGTGTATTTGAACGTGTGTTGCGACTTGATCAAGCTGATAGCAAACTAAAAAATTTATAGGAAAACCTCATTTTAAGTGATACACGCCAATACGCCCTTTTTTTCGTTCAAACTTACCTAAGTTAGCTCAGATGAGTCTTTAAAGACGTGTTTTGATTAAAAAAACATGCTCTAGCTAATAAAGGTTCGCAATTATATTTGTTTTCTCTCAAGGTTTCTTTCAGCTTTTGAGCTTTGTGCACTCAGGGATAGACCACCCTTTAGAGTTATTCCAGGGTGTGACACTCCAACAGGATTCCCTTCGAGGTGTCAAACTTCCAAAAGTAGATCAGAATTTCAAGCCAAAGCTCGCAAATAGTTTGGAAATGGGATGTAAAACCGAGTAGAGCGTGTTATAGTTTTCCTTCGTTTAATTATACATCGGTTCCCGAACAAGATTTCTTTCCCCCCAGAATTTATTAAGCCCCCCGCCTCTCTCCCTCCCCCTTTTCTCTCTTTCTTTTCTGTCAGTTTCCTACCTTGTGGCGCGGGGCTGGCGACTTGTGGCACTTGGTTGGTAGCACCTGGAAGAGAGGTCTGGGGCGTAGCTTGCTGGGAATGCCTGAACTTTTGTTGTTGCTGCGCTGGTGCCTGTTGTTGTTGTTGCTGCTGCGGTGGAATCTGCAGCTGAGGTTGGGATGTCTGTGGTTGTGGTTGCAGCTGCGCAGGCGAGGCAGCTGATGGGGAAAGGTGACCGGCGGCGGCTCGAGCGCGCAGCTCGGCGGCCTTGAGTTGTTCTTGATGGAATTGTTGTCGTTCAGCGAGTAGCTGTTGACGTTGATATTCCAACTGGTGGGAAAATACAAAATGGAGATCGGTCAGGAAGAGCCACTAATAATCAATGGTAAACACAGAGAAATGGTATTCAAATAAACTACTTGTGGAACTAACTTTGATGGCTCATAAACAGCTTACCGCTTCTCGTTCACGGTCCATGATGGTTTCAAGTTCTTCAAAGTGGCGCAATTTAATTTCCAGTTTCTTCATCTGAGTCTCCACAAGTAACGCTACAAGGCTTTTGATCTTGCGCTCCTCAACTTGCGCCAAATGCTATTGGAGAGGTAACATTGACAGAAACGGATTGGACAAAGAAAAAGAAATAGTTCCAAATATTTATCATATCAGACAGAAAAAAAAAACGGCGAGCACAAAGGTGAATTAATCGTCCCACAGCAGAATATTTTGACAAAATTCGAGGTGTTTGGAAATCCTAGAAACAGTCTGTCAATTTGACGAAACTGAGCCAACGGTGGGATGAAGTCATCGACATTTCAATGCACTAAAATTCGTCTCAAAATTAGTCACAGTTCACGTTTTGTAAACGTAAACGAAAACCACTTCGGAACTACCTTGTATCACAATACCACTGTTGTTACTGCCATCACTCGAGAAAAATAAACCAATCATATTAGAGGAAACAAACAAAGGTATCGACTGAACTTAACAAATTCTCTACCGTTTCCGTTCGGTTTGTGAGAAAAAGTATCGAGTTCCCAGATAATAACAATAACAATGGCACGCAAAGCACACTGGTTGGGCGTGGCCCTTTTAGACCGGAGCAGGCTTTCTGTATTCAGATTGGTTAGTGTTGAGTAAGTAACCTCAGTAACAGTAGCCACTCCGTAGGCTAAATGAGCTATAATCGTTCTCGCCATTAAATTAATGAGGTAGAGTTAAGTTATCAATGGGCAGAGTCCATCTTGGTTCGAGTCAAAAAAGGCAACATGTCTATTATATAAGGACAGCTCAGTGTGATTCAAAGTTGTGCTCTCATAAGGATCTTCGGCTTGCTAAATAAATCTTGTCTCGGAGATCTGGGGTGCCTTGCTTTTAGACGCCTACTTATAAAGAAACTTTTAGCAAGTTGCCAACAAACAAAAGTTGGTGGCCTATACGACTGCGCCATGCAGAAGAGAGAACAGCCCTGATCGTTCCTTAATTTCACGTACCTTTGCCTTGACTGCAGCTGCTGCCAGGGCTGAAGCCGCCGCCTTTGCAATGTTTTCCTCGTTTATAGCCGGTGTTTTCTCGCCGTTCTGCGCTTGGCTACTTGGCTCGGAAGACTCTTCTGCCTGAGATAAGAAACACGAAGATTGACAAAAATTATTTACGACATTGTAAACAGAACTCGCTGATGCTGATAAGGACATCCTCAAACTGGAAATCGCAGAGAAATCAGTGTTCGCTGGGGCGTAACAACTCATGGATTCCTCGAGGATATCAATATCCATTCGTTATGAATTGTTTAATCAAAATTGAAGCAGTCTTTTTTCCGTTGAGATTCTTAGCGCCAGAACATTGTATTTGCTACGTGTGGGCATGGCGAAAGGGAAAACAAGCAACCAACCAAACTAACAAACAAACCAACCAAACAAACCAAACAAACAACCAAATAAACAAATCAAACAGGGAAGCGAACGGACGAAAGGGTTCCCCGCTTTCCATATTTAAGGGGGCATACAAAACAACTACAACAAAGTGACAAAGAGACGGAAAAGTTAAAGGCTTCAAGAACGTTCCCCGATGAGCGATAGCTATAAGTGAACTAAATTCAAACTTCAATTTCATGTAACTCTGACCTTTGCATCTTGAGCTCGCGTCTCTCTTCCCTCGACAACAGTTCCTTGGCCTCCATTCACTTCCATGGGTTGTGGTGTTTCTTCTAAATAACAGAAGGAAATTGAAGGGATTTACGTAGTGCTGCATGATCAGTTTTACTGTGCAGAGTGATGCGTAGGAGTGAAGCCAAATTTTCGACGTGTAACATCAAAAAAGCGAACCCCAAAGTGAAGAGAGTGATAATAGTTTATGCTACCTTTGTTTTCATCTGAGCTTTCTTGCTTTACTTTCTCCGCTCGTGCATTTGCAGCATTCTTAACATGGCTGTCAATGACTGACTGCGGTATCTCGTCCTTCATCTCAGAGAATTTCTCTGTTTAGAAAAAGAAATGCAGGTATTGGGATGTCACGCAATGGTATTCACCGTAGCGCGACAATAACTTACAAAGACACACACCACAAAAACAAGAAACCAGTCACGTTAAAAAAAGTCAAATACTTATCTCATACCAGGACTGTTAATTCGCCCGAACTAACTGACTAAATTGAACAGCTACCCACCTAGAGCAGCTTTAGCAGCAGCACTGGCGACCCGAGGATCAACAACAGAAGCAAGGAAAGCTACAGTCGACATTATGGGGTTACCCTGCTGACTGAACGGAACGGGCTGGTGTGATAAAGGACCTGAAAAATGATAACTACAATTATTAAAAACTGGATCATTGGATAATGCAATTCAAGACTTTTTATTGGCTTAGCCATTATGGTATATCAGCCAATATACCATAATCTACAAATATGGTAAGCGTACGCGTCAGCTTAAAATCAAAAGGGAGCTAAAAAATCCAGTTTCTTCTTACAAAATAATAATTTCTTGAGGGCGTTTTTAATAAAACAATTATTCCACTCGCGCTTGTTGGATATGAGATGATTATAGCCAACTCGGCGCTACGCGCCTCGTTGGCTATCTATCATCTCATATCCAACGCGCGCTCGTGGAATAATTGTTAATGAGAGGGCGTGAATGAAACTGAGTTTACCGCCGTGTCGTCTACATTTGCGCTAGTACACCTGACAGCAAAGTGTTACTTGAACACCTTCCTAGTTCAACGATCTTTGGTGCTACAGTGGAAAGTACCAGCATTGAACAGAAAGCTTGAACAAAACGAAAAAAGCAAAGGATAGAAAATACGTCCAATACAAAAAGCTAAATTATAAGGAAGGAAGGAAACTCTTTATTCGCACTATTTCAAGAGGTTACTACAGATTATAAAAGTCAGAAAATATAAAAAAAAACCAGTAAATTACATCAGTAATCAAAAGTAAAATGTGCACAGTGACCAAAGTAGCATAGCTTTCGAGTTGGCCACTGTCACGTATAATTAACTGGTGTATCTTAACATTTACACAAGACTTACTTTACTTTAATTCTATATTTACACTAACCAAGTTAGTTATACACAATTAGTACTATAAACAAAGAGAATAGAGAAGTGAGTAAATAAGTAAATAAATAAAAATTTGCTATCTGCTAGATAACGATTCGTCCGTCTAGTCCACCGGCCAGACGGTGAATGTTAGAGCACATTAAGAATGCATGTCGCAAAAAAAAAAAAAAAAGAAAAAGAAAAAACCAACCCAAACTTATCACAAACATAAGAAGGGAAGGAGTCCATGAAAACTCAGAGTAAAAAACAGGCAAACTGCCTGATGCGCATGAAAAGCGAGATTGACCAAGCTGCGATTGGTTCCAGTTTTGAATATGATTGGTTGAGAAAGTGGCGCGAGTTTTCTGCGCCAATCACAGAGCCGTTAACTATTAAGATTGTAAGCGCCCAGACCCTTACCCAACTGTACATCCTCAAGGTAGGGGTCCTCTATCGGAAGCCTAAGGAAGTGCAAGATACATTCATCTTGCGTTCGAGTTCCCACATGTTCAGCCACCTTGTTCCAATCGTCTTTGAACATTTCCAGGCCCTAAAAAAAGAAAATCCCCCAAATCTAGCTTTTTATGTGCATTATGTTTAAATAGACTTTAGAACAGTTTCCAGATTCTGCGCATGTACATGCTCTGTGGCCCACACGATTGGACTGATAGATAACCAAGCGACTTAACTGAACCTGTGCGCGTCCAAAATAAATCTCCCGAGCAACAGAGGGACTTCTCTTCGGATCGCAGTGAGGACAGACACACAAGTCCATCTTCATGTACAAAAAGTAGACCATGACAGATAATACATTAATGAAATCTTTTCAACTGCAAATGTTTACTAAAGGATTCTAGATGCACGAGAGACAGGATAAAAAAACCTGTTATGTTCTGTATCAGTGGGCATGAGTGGACAGGCTAATATTTCATGAACACGTAAATGTACCTCTAAAAGAAGAAGTGTCTCTTGTTCAGTCCACTCTTTTGTAGCTGTTGCAGCCTGCAAGATAATCACAAAAGAAGACAAATGACAATGTTATAGATACAACAATTGGGTAAGCAGCCTTACCAAAGAAGTGTGTTTATCTTTGACGGGAATACAATTTGGGAAAAACCCCACTACTAAGAACAAGTAATGGGTGTGAAACCCCATCGTTCCTCCAACCTTAACTTGTTTTGGTATGTCCTGTTTGGTGTTAGAGACCACACTTGGCAAGACAGTTATCTCCTACCTTAGTGGAAAAGAGAACACTAGCTCTGTGCACATTAAACGAAACGGAGAGCTACAAACACTGGTCTTGCCGGGGTAAAAATATACACATCTCTTTTACCTTTTGACTCTTTTTAGATAGGTACTGGTCTGAACGGAGGCTGGAAAGACGAAGGAAAAAATAATCAAAAAAGTAAATAAGTGTAGCCTGCCTGCAATGTCAAATCTTAAGATTGAGGTTAGTTTCTTATCATTACTTTTCCCTCAAGGCTGTCTTTTACGTTTCCTTTATGCAAAGTGAGTGTAAAATGAGCTAAGCTGGAGTCGCCACACCGCATGAGAGGGAAAAATTAGGGACCTTAAGAAACCACGACGGCGACGGCAACGAGGACGTGGAAAACAAGAGATCTAATTGACAGAACAGTAGCTCAGCACGTGCGTTTTGAAACTTTGTACATTTCATAGCCGTCCTATGCAAAACAACAACGTGAAATCGCCAAAATTTGCGTCGTCTGCGAACCGAAACCGCGACGACAAATTATTTTAATTTCCATTTGGAACTCAACGGCTACTTTATACGTCATGCGGAAGTTGAGCTGTGGTGCTATATGAGACAGCAAGCTCCTGTAGCCATTTTTGAAATTCTAACTAAGTAGAAATTCATTTTTTAATCGAAGTCTTCCTTGGCGTCGCCGTCGTAGTTTCTTAAGGTCCCTATTCATGGGGGAGGGGTCAACAAAGGAAGGTTCCACCTCTCCCCCCTTAGAGAGGAAACGATTTCCACGCAGGCTAACCCAGGTTAGGATCGCTGTCTCCACTGCAATCTCAGCCAGAACAATTAAGGGAGGTACGTTTCTATACAAACTGTGGTGCTGCGTCGCTATCACACAATACATGATAATTTGGTTTAATCAATTACATGAAGGTTGATAATGTAAATTGTCCACTGTAAAGAGCCACTCTTGACGGCGGACAATTTACGTTATCAACTCAGTTGACAAAACCAAATTATCTCATAATCATAAAGTTCATTGACAGCATCTTACCCAAAGTTTGCTCCTGCCACACCGCCCTTGTATGTCTCTTTGCCTCCCAGGTCATCTTTGAATTGGATAATTTGTTGGGAGGCGGGAATCTGAGGAAAAATTCGAGCCGGTAGGGAACAGTTAAGAGAAAATCAAGCTAGGAAAATGACTTTCCCAAATAGGTCTTGGTGCAAAGGTAACCTCCTCTTTCAGGTTATATTTACAGTTGTAGACTCAAGCTATCTGGTTTCCGTTAAGTAAGATCACACCCCCTCTAGTATTTCCGTAAAGGCTTTGACCAGTGTTTGAAATCAGAGGAAATACTCCTTATTTAATTGAGCTGTTTCAGCTTAAAAGCCATTTCAACTCAAGACCTTCGCGAAACAAGTGATGCTCTATCGAAGAGTACGGAAACAAAACGTATACTCCAATGAAAATTTGATTTCTTCTTAATTCTGAAAAATTGTTTCTTAATCGAGAAAAAAGGAGGTTTTACCCAGAGAAAACTGGTTAATTCCAAGGAAATTTCAGAACCAACAATGAGATCAGGTCAGACCATTCATGGAAAGAATTCCATTCGATGGTAGAACTGATCAATCACGATCTGAACTTTATCCTCTACTCTGACGCATCCCTTAAATGACGTTTCGAGTAAAGCACAATCACTTTATATTTGTGGGTATGTTCGGTCAGTTCCGACTTAAAGTAAGTTTTCTACAATATCTCCGTCGCGGAATTCGTACAATTCGCCTAACAGCAACTTAACTACAAAACCCAAAAATTAGTGTTTGTACTTACCTGTGCTTTAGCAGGATGCAAGGGCTGTAGACCCGCTGGAGTGTCTGCTAACACATGGAAGTGTGATGTGGAAGGTGGCCCCATTGGCGCCGGACGGCCATCTGCGTCTACTTGATAATTAATAAGACCCCACTGCTCCAGGAAGGCATGGATCCTGAATTGAGAGAAAACCAGGTATCACAGGAAGTCTAGGCTTCACAAACTGTAATGATCCACGTCACGTATTACATAAGTTCAGTCGGTTGTGTGGCTGGCGCAAGTAAAGCAAGCCGGGATGGTACAATGCTGAGAGCGGATTGCCTCTCATCATTGTGACATAGGTTTAATTCCATGATTTAAAGTCACGAATGGGTTTACTCTGTTGCTGGTTTTCGTTCTTACTCTGAGGATATTCTTCGAGTTCCCTCTACAAGAACAAACACTGCAAATTTCAACTCGAATTGGAGATATTGAGCTAGAGTAGCAAGCCCCGTGGGCTCAATTGCATCGAGCCACGATTCAAGAATGTTCAGATGCCTCTGGTGATATTTTAAACAAGTCCTCATATACCTTACAATCGCACACACATCCCCTCACAGATTCCGCCGGCAAGCTGTGGCAGTCAAATATTCCGTTGGATTCAGTCGATAAGCATCAAGCATGAAGTTTCGGCATGCCAGATA